GCGGGGCGCCTGGAGCGAGGGAGGGAGGCCGGCGACCTGCCCGGGGCGCGCCCTGAGCCGCCGCGCCCCTCCCTGGGCCGGGCCTCCTCCCTCGGACCCCGGGTCCAGCCTGAGCGCGCGGTGTCCTCCTGCCCCCAGGTGTTTGCCGCCTGGTCCTGGTGGTGCTGAGCCTCTGGCCAGAGAGAGCCGCTGCCCGTGGGCCGCCTCCTGGTCCCTCTCGAGCGTCTCCAGACCCTCGGGCCGAGCTGGACAGCGCGGTCCTGCTGACCCGCTCCCTGCTGGTGGACACGCGGCAGCTGGCCGCGCAGCTGGTAGGAGAGGGCAGAGGGTGCGGGGGCCAGGCTGTAGGCAGGGTTGAGTCCCTGGGGATCTTCACACCAGCCAGCTGGAGGGCAGAGCCCCCGGAGGGCACGTTGGGGCTGAGGTGGGGTTGGGGTCCCCCTCACAACTCTTTCTCTCCAGAAAGACAAGTTCCCTGTGGACGGGGACCACAGCCTGGACTCCCTCCCCACTTTGGCCATGAGTGCGGGCGCACTGGGAGCCCTGCAGGTAGGGCACGTGCAGGCTGGCCGCCGAGGGCAACCGGGCAGGGCAACCGGACGAGGGTCCCCTGACGCCCCTCCTGTCCGCAGCTGCCCGGGGTGCTCACACGGCTGCGGGCTGACCTGCTGTCCTACCTGCGGCACGTGCAGTGGCTGCGCCGGGCGGGTGGCCCTTCACTGAGGACCCTGGAGCCTGAGCTGGGCGCCCTGCAGGCCCGACTGGACCGGCTCCTGCGCCGGCTGCAGCTCCTGGTACGCCTGGCTCCTAGACCTTACCCGTCCGGCCCTCTGCCCTGTCACCCTGAGACCCTGTCTCCAGAGACCCTGGGCCCTGGGCCCCCGGCAGCCCAGGCTCACTGTGGAGGCCCAGATACCAGGCCAGACCCCTGCTCTGAGAGCCCAACCCTGAGATGCCCGAGGACTCCATGGCCCTGCGCCTGAGGCCTCAGACCCCACAGTCCTGCCCAGAAAGTCCGGACTGTCACCTCCTGTCCCTGGCACCACAGAGTCCTGGTCTCCTGTCCCTGAGACTGTCAGACACTGGAGCTCCAGATCCTGCCTGAGACTACAGGCCTCGTACTGGACCTGAGATCCCCGTCCGGAGGCCCTGAGACTTTGAATCCAACTCCTCACCCCAAGACTTGGAGGCTCTGGTCTCCAAATAGTGAGAAGCTCAAACTCGCTTGAGGCCCAGGCCCCAGCCCTGAGCTGCGAGGACCTGACCCCACTGTCCTTGAAACCCCTGCACCCTGAGGCCTTGGACCCGCACCCCAGACCCAGACCCCTGCCCTGACACCTGGTCTGCCTTCCGCAACAAAGAGGCCTGAACCTCTGATGGTGCTGCGGCCCGCTCCCGCTGCTGCTAACCTGTGCCCTCTCCTGACAGATGTCCGGCCTGGCCCTGCCCCAGGTGCCCCCAGAGCCGCCGGCACCACCCCTGGCGCCCCCTGCCTCGGCCTGGGGAGGCATCCGGGCAGCCCACGCCATCCTAGGGGGGCTGCACCTCACCCTGGACTGGGCTGTGCGGGGGCTGCTGCTGCTGAAGACCCGGCTATGACCCCGGCCCGCCGCCGCCGCCGCCGCCGCCGCCGCCGTCCTTGGAAGCCACGTCTTATTTATTTATTTATTTCAGTCCCGGGGCGCGACGGCCAGGGGACGCCCCTCATCATGCCCCTAGATAGACAGAGCCGGGTGAGGGGCACCTGTGCCTTATTTATACTTATTTATTTAAGGACCAGGAAGGGGGCAGGGGACTGGATCCCTGAGGAGGGCGTGGGGTCCCCAGTTCTGTAAGGTGCCTTTCCACCGTGTCCTCGGGGCTCCTTCGCTCCCCTCTGGGCCTGGGCAGGAGCACATATTGTTATTTATTAAACAATTACTTTGTAATGTTAGGGTGGGGAGGGAGGGGAAAGGAAGCCTGTGGCACAGCGGCGGGATGGCACCTGTGCCCCTCACACCCCGTGAGCAGTCTCTGAGACCAGGGTCCCGGTGCCACCCGGCTGAGAGCTCTGGGGAGGCAGGGTCTGAGCCCCCCCTGACCTGGCACCTCACCGGTAGAAGGTACTGGAAGGTCTCCCTGCCACAGACGGCGCCTGCAGGGAGAAGCCTGAGCTGAAGAGCGCCGGTTCTGGCGCTCTTCCCGACCGCAAGTGGGAAAGAACCCGGAGTCCAGCAGTGGGGATGGTTCACTATCGCCGACCCCCTCACCTCCAGGGCTGCCAGGCCTCGGCAACGAGGGAGGTGGGTGAGAAGACGGCCCCAGCATGGCACACTGCCTGGTGCGACACACAGCACGCTGCACAGCCGCCGCGCCACCCCAGGCTGTGCTTGTCTTTCTCTGTATATGGATTTTTAAATTCCAGAGGCAAAGACACCAAAATGCTGGCAATGGCTGAGGGGAGAGGAGAGCTTGGGAGCAACTTCTATTGTTTGCACTTGTATCTTCCAGAATTTCTACCATGATGTATTTTGCATGACACATTTAAAAATAACAGTAAGGCCGGGCATGGTGGCGCACGCCTGTAATCCCAGTGCTTGGGAGGCTGAGGCAGGAGGATCGCTGTGTGTTCGAGACCAGCCTGGGCTATAAAGTGAGTTCAAGCCAGCCTGAACTGCATAGCGGGACCCCGACTCAAAAAGACGAAAACCTATAAAAATAATAAACACTATTTTTATTTTTACTTAATTTTTTTTTTGGTACTGGAAATCAAACTCACGACCTTGCACTGTGGCACTGAGCTATATTCCCACCCCTAAACACTATTTTTAGAATGATGGAATATTGCCCTTCCACCCCTTCCCTCAAAAAATCCCTCAGAAAGGAGGCTGAGGCAGGAGGATCTCCACTTTGGGGCCAGCCTAGGCTACACAGTGAGACTCAAAAAAACAAAAACAACAATAGCAATGACAAAGATCACTAACTGAACCCTGCTCTGTGCCACACTGTGGCCAGGGGCTTTGGACTTCCAGGATTTCCTTGGGTCCTCAAATATGCCTTTTGGGGGGTACCAGAAATCGAACTCAGTACCTCACACTTGCCAGGCAGGCACTGTGCTACTGAACTAAATCCCCAGCCTCTTATGCCCATTTTACAGGCAAGGGAAACTGGTACTCAGACAGGTGGGGTAGTATTTCCGATGCTCAAGGTCACACAGCCCAGGACAGGTAGAATCGCAATTGTTTTCTATTTTTGTTTTTTGGTGGTGGGGGAGGGCAGGATGGTACCCAGGGCCTTGGACATGCCAGGCAAGCACTCAACACTGAGCTACATCCCCAGCCCTTTATTCTTTGTGATACTGGGAACTGAACCCATGGTGTCACACTTGCTAGGCAGGTGCTCTCCCACTGAACTGCCATTTTGTTCATTATTTTGAGGCAGAGTCTTATGAAGTTGTCTAGCCTGGCCTTGATTTGCAATCTTCCTGCCTCAGCCTCCCAAGTAGCTGGGATTACTGGTAGGTACATGCCGCTATACCTGGCAGAATTGTGATTCTGCTTTGGATGAACCTCATTTGAAAACTGGTACCCCTTTCTTTACAGCTCAGGGTTCAGGGACAGCGACACATGCCGACATATTAGCGATGAGGAAACTGAGACTAGGCATGGGTTCGAGTCTTACCCAGGGCCCAGCAGAGGGTCAGTGGTTAATGGTCCACTTCCAATCATGCAGACCTCCCGGGCGGCCCTGCACTGTCCGAGGTTGGGTCCGGGCTCTGATTCTCCCATCGGGGCTCCCAGGATGGGTCCCTGCGTGTCAGCTGAGGTCACAAAGCCCCCTCTGGGCTCCTCCCCCACAGGACCATGGCCACGGCCTGTGTCCCCCACCCCTGGGGAAGCTGAGCTCCAGGGTCCAAGGCCGGCAGCCTGGGTGGGATGGGAGTGGGGCCCCTGGGTGGTGGACCCCTGGATGGGGACCCTTCCCACACCCGCACCTGCAGCCATCATGAAGTGCTTCTGGAACACCCGGCCAGCCCAGCCACTCCAGGGGTCCCAGAAGTGGGTCCCTGTTCTGGGCAAGCTGCAGAAGACCCTCCAGAAGGGCGAACACCTGCCCCTGCGTCCCATGCCCATGTTCGAGAGTAACTTCGTGCAGGTCCCCAGCTGCCAGCACCCCGGGGGGGGCTGAGGGCAGGGGGACATGGGGGTGGTGTTAGGAGGGGCTGGAAGGTGGCCCTGCAGGGACTCAGGCCAGGTGGTGCAGGCAGCTGGGGACAGGTGGTCCCAGCCCTGGTCCCTGGCCGTCTCAGGTGACAGATGCTGGGAGCCCCGTGCTCATGCATCACAGCGCTAACCGGGTGACCATGGGCGTGGCCGCCTCCCTGCCCGGCCTGGTGCTTCCAGACATCCTGCTCGTCGCCCGCCCCCAGGCCAGGGATGGCTCCTGCCTCGAGCTGACCAGGTGCCCGTCTG